AATTAAAAAAAAGATGTGGTATGATTGCCAATAAGACAACTCTCTACAAGAGACCAAATGACACAGACATTAACAGCTATAGGTCACCATACGACCTTCAACAATGTACAAAGCCCATACCGCATAGTCAGCTATAAAAGGCCCAGAAATCACTAATGTAAAAAGAATCCAAACGAGAAAACTAACGCCCTAATTATTGTACAAAAAAATGAACAAAAAACAAATATGTAATTTATATATAAAAACATGCTAGCGGGATCCCAACCCTCCCCTAACCTGGGACAGTAGTATAACAGATCCACATAAGAACCAACTATAATCATAGTACTGAAGTACTGAACATCGGATGACCGCAAATTCTTGTGGATGGTCACAAGCACTTGTGAAAGTGAGGTTAATGTACAGAGATATATTTTTTTCTGAAACAAGTTCGTGCGTGGATGATGAATCTATTATATTGTAACAGATACATCTTAATATCTAGTATATATGTCTCTGATTTTAGTGAAACAAATCAGTATACTCTGGTTTGTTGTTATATATTATATTAATATTTGTATATAACAGTTACATGTATATATCATTTTCATCCATTTGTATATTATTCTATTCTTCTATTCTAATAATAGTGCATTGCAAGTGCATGGTGGACACTCTTCTGTAATAATTCGATTTTTCTAATAGATTGGATTGAAAAGGCTTTCATAATTTTCCGCAAACCATTCTTGAGATATTCTTCCGCATGCGTTAACACAATTCATCTAAACGAGTGAAAAGATATTAATGATTTTTTACTTATATATATATTTCTAACGACAAAACATTTTCATATTATTAATTTATGTTATAAAATAAAATATTTAAAAGAAATGAATTTATAACAGGCGATAAGGAATGTTATTTTGCACTCGATAATGTCCGCGTATTTATATATCGGTTACAAGTCAACCACGAAAGTTACGTAAGTAGAAATCTCTGTTGCAACAATACATCGGAATGCCCTCACGGTCATTGCGATGTAAAAATCAGTTGTAAAAGGCTTAACTCATCAGATGGATACAAATAGAAATACATATTAACAAAAACATAGAGTAAACGTGGACGGGTACTTGAACATCCCAACAACAAAAAAGGACTCTTAGTGCAGATCTGAGTGTACTCATAATTACTAACAGATAGTTCAAAGCAAATAACAACTAATAAAAAAATGCATCTAAGACTAAATTATCAATCAGTGCACATCCAACATGGATTTAGTGTTAAGATCAGAGAAAAACATGACATTGTGCAATGACAAGATACAGGAATCGACAGATTGTAGATCAATGGAATTTGATTTACTGATAAAAACAATATTAATACCAATATAAACAATATTCAAAGAATTAATGACAGCATTGGATTGGTAACCTTTTAGAATAATTTTATTTAAAAAATCGATAAGTTGGTTTGTTTTGTGTAATGAATTGCTATAATTCGATTAAAATACTATCAGCTTAAAACGTCGAGGACTAGTATTATATAGTACTAAGGTATAAAGAGATAGGATATTTGTTAGGCCTATCCCTTTTATCTAGAATTATTTATTTTTACGTAAAATTGCATTTGATCATGCATCTCAAATCCACTTATGCATATCTAGAAGCTTACGGTACAATTGTCGCACTTAGTTTGTTACATATATTTTTAGGGGTGGTGTCCACTTTTATTCATAACGCATTAAAGTGAGCATTCGTTTCCGGCATCATTTCTCTATCGGGATGTCCACACTAAATGAAATCCGCGACTAAACGGTACACCTTGTGTTAGGGGAGGGCAAAAGAATTATTCTGTCTCAAAGTGCCAATAATTCTTTTCAAAATCTCATTTTCCAATTAAAAATACCTGTACTCACATATTTTCACATTTATATATAAAAAAACATAGAAAAATATGAAAAGGCTATAAGAGGTAATATATACAAGTAATGAAAGGTTCGTATAAAAAACTAGGGGTGTTTTCCTCAAGAAGAATATAATATAATAGCACTAAAAAATAGGAGATCTGTGTTATGGAACGCCCGAATACCAAAAAAAAACCAAAAACAACGCCGAACCGACACAAATTACAGGTATATCCTATATACCATAAGAAAGCTTATAAAATGAGGAACAAAAGCTATATAGTGAATATAGGGCACAGATCCGGTTTAAGGGATAATGAAGCGCCCGAATATCGAAAACGGCCGAACCTTAGAAAAAATACAACACAAATCACGTTACGATCGAGTTTTGAACCCCCGAATCCCCTAATTACAGGTATATCCTATATACCATAAGAAAGCTTATAAAATGAGGAACAAAAGCTATATAGTGAATATAGGGCACAGATCCGGTTTAAGGGGTAATGAAGCGCCCGAATATCGAAAACGGCCGAACCTTAGAAAAAATACAACACAAATCACATTACGATCGAGTTTTGAACCCCCGAATCCCCTAATTACAGGTATATCCTATATACCATAAGAAAGCTTATGAAATGAGGAACAAAAGCTATATAGTGAATATAGGGCACAGATCCGGTTTAAGGGATAATGAAGCACCCGAATATCGAAAACGGCAGAACCTTAGAAAAAATACAACACAAATCACGTTACGATCGAGTTTTGAACCCCCGAATCCCCTAATTACAGGTATATCCTATATACCATAAGAAAGCTTATAAAATGAGGAACAAAAGCTATATAGTGAATATAGGGCACAGATCCGGTTTAAGGGATAATGAAGCACCCGAATATCGAAAACGGCCGAACCTCAGAAAAAATATAACACAAATCACATTACGATCGAGTTTTGAACCCCCGAATCCCCTAATTACAGGTATATCCTATATACCATCAGAAAGCTTATAAAATGAGGAACAAAAGCTATATAGTGAATATAGGGCACAGATCCGGTTTAAGGGATAATGAAGCGCCCGAATATCGAAAACGGCCGAACCTTAGAAAAAATACAGCACAAATCACGTTACGATCGAGTTTTGAACCCCCGAATCCCCTAATAACAGGTATATCCTATATACCATAAGAAAGCTTATAAAATGAGGAACAAAAGCTATATAGTGAATATAGGGCACATACATGTATTCAGTGTAAGGGATAATGAAGCGCCCGAATACCGAGTTTTGTGTTGTTTTTTTTTCTTAGGTTCGGCCGTTTTCGGTTTTCGGTCGCTCGTTACCCCTTAAATTGCATCTGTGCCACATATTCACTATATAGCTTTTGTTCCTCATTTTATTACCTTTCTTGTGATATATAGGATATACCTGTAATTAGGGGATACGGGGGTTCAAAACTCGATCGTAACGTGATCTGTGGTGTATTTTTTCTTAGGTTCGGCCGTTTTCGGTTTTCGGTCGCTCGTTACCCCTTAAATTGCATCTGTGCCACATATTCACTATATAGCTTTTGTTCCTCATTTTATTACCTTTCTTGTGATATATAGGATATACCTGTAATTAGGGGATACGGGGGTTCAAAACTCGATCGTAACGTGATCTGTGGTGTATTTTTTCTTAGGTTCGGTTCGTCGTTGTTTGAGATGTTTTTGGTATTCGGGCGTAGTATAACATAGATCTCCTATTAGTGCTATTATTAGATTTTTCTTTAGGGAAACACCCCTAGTTTTTTATACGAAACTTTCATTACTTGTGTATATTACCACTTCTAGACTTTTCATATTGATAATATTTTTTAAATATAAATGTGTAAATTTTTGAGAATTTGAAAAGAATTATTGGCACTCAAAGACGTAATCTACGGACTGAACGGTACACCTTGTGTCAGGGGAGTGAAAAAAAATACGTTAAGTGTGGACATCTTGATAGTGAAATGAGTCTGAAACGAATGCTCACTTTAATGCTTTATGAATAAAAGTAGACCCCACCCCTAGAAATATACGTAACAAACTGAGTGCGACAATTGTACCGTAAACTTCTAGATATATGCATAAGTGGGTTTTAGATGCATGATCAAATGTAATGTTACGTAAAAAATAAATAATTCAGTCTAAATATTAAAAAGGGATAGGCCTAACAAATATCTTTTCTCTTTATACCTTAATACTATATAATTCAATAGAGATTTCTACTTACGTTACTTTCGTTTTTGACTGCAAACCTATCTAAATTATCGTTTGCAAAATAATATTTATTTATTAAATGATTACTCATAAAAATATTTTATTTTATGATATAGATTGATAACATGAAAATATTGTGTCGTTAGAAATATATATATATAATATAAGTAAAAAATCATGGATATTTTTGCAATCGTTTAGAAGAATAACAATTATCCCGTTAGTTTTTTATCTTTTGAATTCCTTTTACATTTATGATTTATGCGGTATGGGATTTGCACATTGCTGAAGGCCGTACGGTGACCTAAAGCATGTAATGTCTGTGTCATTGTCAATCATACCAATTTTTTCTAATTTTTGTATATACAAGTAGATACTACAGTTATTCATGACAATTTAATAAACTTGAATAGTGAATAGTGCAAAAAAAACACAGTTCACTATTCATGAATTTTGAATAGTGAAAAGTGAATAGTGAATAGTGAACGTACTTCAGCCCGGTTCTCCTTTCAACCTACATGCCACTATTTTGTTGTAAAATGCATGTAAGGATTGTCGTTAGAACATGTTACAAGGACACATCTGTTTTGTATGAAACAATAAGGAAATGTGTGAAAAGCTTATTTGAAACCGTTTCACTGACTGGATTATTACGTGTATCATACAATTGACCGTTCCTAAAAGTAATCAGGTCACATTAAAGATGCAACATGGCCGACACGGCGGCAAATGTGAAATACATATTCTAAAAAAACGGCCTGTTTGTCGAAATCGATTTATGTAAAATTAAAATGTGAGTGTTACTTAATATGAATGATGATATAGCTTCACGATTTACCATTATATCTTCTTGAATTTGAACATTTTTTTTTATCATTCCAGTTATCACTATGATGGACAACCAAGCCAATAACAACACAACCGATCTTCCACCGGCACCAGCTGTCCCTGCTTTACGACAAAGAGAGGACGAAGAAGACATCATGGCTATGTTAGAAGCCAGAGTCGATCCTGTACAAGAAGGTAAACTAAGACAAATAACTAATTGAACTAGCGAACATATATGTTTTGTAATGTTGGGTTCCTGTCTCACTGCTGCACCACATCTCCTTATCAATATTTGAACAGCGTATAATCTTCTGCGTCATTTGGTCTCTGGTGGAATGTTGTCGCAACCATACCATATTTTCTTATTTTTGTATAAAGCATGTCACGAATTATATTGCAAAAACAATTTGCTTTTTTATTTTTATTTTTTGCTTTTCATGGATATTTGTTTTTTTTTTCATGTTGCTTGCAGTTCTATTTGTTATGTTTGGGATTGTGTTGACTTTTGTTACTATTATTAGATGTACTTTTCTGATAAAAGAAACGATCGATGTGTTCATGCAAAAATATCTATAGCTAGGATTTTCAGTAATTCCTTGAACGAGCTTAATATACCGGGATATTTGTAATAAACTACTAATTTTCCGTTGCAACATCATCAGGAGTGTATTTTAAAACTATTGTATGCCATGTCGTGTAATATATTTTGAATGCAATGTCATCACTCTAGAATCACTTTTCTGATTGAAAATGGGTTTTTAAAACAATTTGTGTAGGAACTAGATATGAGCTGGCGAAACAGGAGAAACTGTTATTTCCAGAACGCAAGAGGCCACCGGTTTTGATAGGATGAACAAAAGAAGGTCGTATTACCCAAAATTCATAGGAATTGGCATTTCCAAAAATCAATAGGAATTTGTAATACTCAGAATCGATAGGAATTTTTAATACTCAGAATCGATAGGAATTTGTAATACTCAGAATCGATAGGAATTTGTAATACTCAGAATAGATAGGAATTTGTAATACTCAGAATCGATAGGAATTTGTAATACTCAGAATCGTTAGGAATTTGTAATACTCAGAATCGATAGGAATTTGTAATACTCAGAATCGAAAGGAATTTTGCAATACTCAGAATCGATAGGAATTTGTAATACTCAGAATCGTTAGGAATTTGTAATACTCAAAATTCGGTAAGAATTTGTAATACCTAAAATCGATAGGAATTTGTAATACTCAGAATTCATAGGAATTTGTAATACTCAGAATCGAGAGGAATTTGCAATACTCAAAATCGATAGGAATTTGCAATACTCAGAATCGATAGGAATTTGTAATATTCAGAATCGACAAGAATTTGTAATACCTAAAATCGATAGGAATTTGTAATTCTCAGAATTGATAGGAATTTGTAATACTCGGAATTGTTAAAAATATGAATTACCCAGAATTTATATAATATGTTTATCCAAAACTTCAGTTCTAAGTTTTTACTGTACACGCCTCTTTTTGTTTTTTGTGTCTCTTGGTGACCACTGATTTTAGTTTTAAGATAGGCGTTTTTATCATTTCCATGTAAATTACAGTACTCATAATGCGATTCAGTTAACAATCATGATGGTGTTGAGCAATTCACTATGAGTCAGAGCAAATGCTGGTTATTTACGGGGATAACACATGTCATGTATTATCTATATGTAATATATACAGAGAATAATTCTTGTAGATGCTCACCCACAATCACCAATATTTTACTAAATTACTTTGTGTGTACTGTATGAGGGTCTTGTTGGGGGGTTTATATAATATAGAATAATAGGATGAAAAAATAAAGAAAGAGAAAATGTTTTTAATAAAAAAAAAAAAGAATAATGAAGTGCTTAAAGACAAAGAATAGTGACAAATGGACCCCAAAAATAAGAATAGAGCTAAATTGCATTAAGAAATATAAAAGAAAACAAATAATTCAGAACTTCTGTAATACACTCGACTTATTTTACTTCTGTAGAGAGGATGAGACAAAAGGCCATGCAGTTTGCTCTAGTTGGCGCAATCGAGAGACGAGACAGTCAAAAGGTCAAACAATTGATCGTCGAAGGAGTTAATATTGATGCTCAGATAATGTACACGAAAACCCCACTGACACACTCAATTGAATTAAAACACGGGGATATAGCGATACTTTTACTTGAAAATGGATGTGATCCTAAACTTACCGTAAATCATTTTCCTTACTTTCAACCAATCCACCTCGCAGCAAGGGAAGATTTGTCCGAGGTTGCTGAGAAATTGATCGAAATGGATGTTGATCTTGATATTTGTGACACGGACAAAATGACACCTTTAATTCTGGCGAGTTATTATTGTCGAACCAATGTAGTTAATCAACTGATAAAATACGACTCAGATATTAACTTTCAAGATAGTTGTGGCAGAACATCGCTCCATCGTGCAGTCGAAAGTGAATCAATCGAGGTGGTAAAAATTTTAATTAGAAATAAGGCCGATATGAATATAATCGACCACAAAGGATGGACACCGTTACATTTAGCACTTGCTTTGAACTTTCAAGAAATTGTAAATATTTTATTGGAAAACAAGTGTAAGCTTGAAACTTCTGACGTGAATGGGAGAACACCACTCTGTATAGCATGTGACTTTTTAAGCAGGAAAAACTATGACATTATTAGAGCAACACAATTCAGCTATGAAGCAAGGAAAAGGGACTTTATGCAAGGTAGATATTTAAGTCTGTTGCAACGTCCAAAGGAAGACAGAGAAACTCTTTCCATGGTTACGACCCTTATTAATAAAGGTGCTAACATTGATGGAAGTCAAAGTCTTTCAAATTCCGATGGACACCAGAGCCTTCCTATCACCGTAGCTGCAATGGCAGATCATACAGGCACTGTACAGATGTTGATAAATTCAGGAGCATGGATTCCACAAAACTGGCAACCAGTTTCATCAGTCCAACTCGGATTTGAAATGCATCAGTTGTCAGAATGGATTGAATTTCAAAGTGTTGTTCAGCTAACATTAAGTTGGCAATGTAAACGGACAATAAGAAAGTTGTTTGCAACAACATGTGACGATATAGATAACGCTATCAGTAAACTGTCCCTGCCTCCTGCCCTGAAGATGTTCTTACGATGAAGAGATTCCTTATTATTCATAATATTGGTAACATTGTGAACATGTGTACAATAAAACATTGTGATTGGTCGACCTCGTTTTAATCAAAATCTTTCTGACCAATGGTTTTTGGTTTTATTATAATTTAAAAAAGCCGTTGACAATTATTTTCTGACAGAGCGAAATTTCAAATTGTTTTTTGTTTTGTTTGTTTGGTCGTTGACATATATTTCATCTTCCATGTCTTTTTACCTTTTGAAAGAAACAAATAATTTACATGCCAGTGTATCTTAAGATATGTTCCGATTTTATTTTACTAGTGTTCTCGCAATATTTGAGTGATTTGCATAGCTGTTTATTGCCATGTACCATTTTAAAGCGGGGTAAACAATATTTGATTTTGATTTATATAACTAGCTGAATGCATTATCAATATGTCTGCCTGTTTTCAATACCATTTGCACGTGTAGTAATTCAAGTGGCTTGCTCAAGTGGTATTGGTGATTTGAATAAATTTTATCACTAAAATATTTACTCTTATTTTTAGGTCACATGGCCCGAAGGTCTTTTGGCGTCCTTCGTCTGTCATCGTCGTCCCTTAACTTTTACAAAGACCATCTTCTGTTTAACTGCTTTGTCACATTTAACCAAACTTGGTCATAATTATCATTGGGGTATATAGTTTTGAAAAATTTGTCTGATAACTCTGCCCGCCAACAATGATGGCTGCCATGGCTACAAATAGAGCATACGGGTAAAATGTAAGTTTTGTCTATTATTTTGAAAATCGCTATGAATAGAGAAAATCTGACGGGGACAGAAATGTTCAGACAATTTCTTATTAGAGTTATTGCCCTAAAATGACGAGTTTTACTACCATGTTTTTTTTTCATTTTGCCTATTACCTTGAAAACTATTATAATAGATAGAGAGAAACTTTTAAACAGCAAAACAAATCAGCAATATATGATCTTACAATGAGTCAAACAAAGCGGAATCATCAATTGACTCCTTATCATAGTTATTGCCCTTTAATGATAATTTTTACCATTTTTTGCGTATTTGCCTTTAATCTTTAAAACTACAACAGATAGATACAAAGTTTGAACAGCATAAGGGACCAACCAGACAAGATCTACAAAATAGTCTAATAGTTGAATTCTTCAATGAATTGGATATTGAATCTATTGCTCTTTAATGGCGACTTTTTACCAATGTTCGGCTTTCGTCTGATGTGGACTGTTTGTTCTTGCTTGAGTACATCCACAATTTTGTAGAGGGACGTCCTATTTTTATGCCCCTAGGCTAAGTTTGGGCATTATGTTTTTCAATCTCAATCTCGGTCTAGCCCGCTTAATGTTAAAGTTTTTGGTCAGGGTAGTTTTTGATGAATTTGAAGTCCAATGAACTTTAAACTTAGTACACATGTTCCAGCTATCATATGACCTATCCAATTTTAATGTCAAATTAGAGTTTTGACCCTAATTACACGGTCCATTGAACATAGAAAATGATAGTGCGAGATGGGCATCCGTGTACATATTCTTGTTGGTCATGTATTCGCGACGACATCGAAAAAAGGCAAGCCGTTTTGCTACTTATTCTTACTTCAAGATATCTCAAACTTTATAAGATATCTTATATAGTTTATAAGATATCATATATAGTTTATGAGACATCTTATATAGTTTATGAGATATCTTATATAGTTTATGAGATATCTTATATAGTTTATAAGATATCTCATATAATTTTCTTTATAAGATATCTTATATAACATTAAAAATATCTTATATAATATATAAGATATCTCATATAATATATAAGATATCTTATGAAAATAAAATTATATAAGATATCTTATATATTAAAGGAGATATCTTATATATTATAGGAGATATCTTGAAATTCGAATAAATTGTAAAACGGCTTGCCATATTCATTCATTTCTTTAAATTATGTTATCCTTATTTCGATATTAATCTTGTAATACATCACCAATTTTAACACAAGCAAGCTGAGGGAAAACCTAAAATATTGCAAATTAGTGTCTCAAGTGTGTTTACTACATACTCGTAAGTTGCTATGGGCACTTCCAGTTGTTATTAAATATTTACAGGTTTCAATGTCAACTGAAGGTTAGGGAGCTACCATTTGATTTTTATGGGGAGGGGGGCTAGGATGAAATTTGAAAAAAATAGGCAGGACAGGAGTTTTGAGTAAAAAAAAAAGGCAGGATGAGACACTTGCAAAAAAAAAGTCAGGACGACAATTTAGGTAAAAAAAAGTCAGGATAAACTAAAATAAAAAAGGCAGGACTGAATAGAGTGAAAAATAAAAAGGCAGGATAGAAATTACAGCTAAAAAAAATCCAGGACAACATTTTTCATCCTAGCCCCCCCCCCCCCCCCCCCCCCCCCCCCCCCCCCCCCCCCCCCATAAAAATCAAATGGTAGCTCCCTTAACAAAAATGCAAAATAATTCCTATCTAGCTACCCTGTTTTTCTTCTTCAAGAAAACCAAACTACTTAACGAAGCACGCACCTTTTTTGTTTAGCCTTACAAATTAAAATAGCATATTATTAATTTGGTGCATATGAACACAGAGCAATTTTACGGTCAACTGAGCATAGACAATAATAGTGCGAGTGGGGCATCCGTTTACTATGGACATATTATTGTTGGTTTTGTTTTGCTTTTTTCTTTGCTTTGTTTCATTTATATGTGTTTCATTTTCTTTGTTTTATCCAAAATATTTTTTCAATCGTTTTTCATTAGTTTATTCTAACACACAAACTGTTTATTTATTTTTTTAATTTTATATGTTACCATTCAAGACCTACCACCTGCACCAGCTGTACCGGAAGTACAACAGAACTCAGACCAAGATGACATCATCGCTGTGCTGAGAGCTCAAAGAGATCGGAAACAAGAAGGTTAACAATTGCTAAATTTTACTTAAAGAGAAACACATAAAATTATAGTAAATGCAAATGACAATTGCATTGAGGAATCATGTTACATGGTCAGCATGAGCAGTACATGTCTGCAGAAAAAGTTATGAATTAAAATAATCTTTTGAGGATACACGTTCGTGCTTTTCTCAGAGTAAATTGCTATTTTATGTTGCACTATATTGTTGAAATTTTTAATAGATAAGGGCATAAAGGACGTGCTTTTGATATGGAAAATAAAAAAAAAAACAATTGGCATAAATTCTTCCAAAAATTGAATCGTCCAGTCACGTCCGGAGATTTAAACCATATATGTTCAATTTTACAGAAATTCCAAAAAAAAACCTGTTTCCGGCATGATTTTTTTAAGTGAAGCCATGCTAATGTCTATAAGTAGAGCTTATCATACAACTGGTTGTAAAATTTTCTTGATTCCATTTAAGATTAGTTCATTGAAAGAGTCACCACCAGTGTAAAACAAATGTTTTTCACACCGTCGTTTTTTTAAATTATGATATACTACTCAACCATACCCTGATGTAATATGCGGGAAAAGTATGTCATAATTTGCTCATTGTTTGTGTGTGATTTGAAACATTTGTGTGCGAATGCAGTGTTATTTATTTTGACTATGAGTGTATGCTCTTAAGATGAACATATAAGTTTCAAGGAGTTTATTTTTAACTCATAGTTTATTATCATAAAAAACTTAAATTGAAAGAATATGTTATTGGACAAGTATATATAGAATAGAATACTCTTTTCCTTACAGAGAAAATGAAACAAAAAGCCAAACAGTTTGCCATGGTTGGTGCCATAGAAAAGCAAGACAGTGAAAAACTTCAACAACTGATTCAGGATGGAGTTAATATTGATGCTGAAATCATATTTACCAGGACACCACTGACGCATGCTATAGAACTTAGACACGAAAACATCGCAATACAATTAATAGACAATGGTTGCGACCTATATTTACCGGTTGATGAATTTCCGTATCCTCAACCAATTCATCTAGCTGCAAGGGAAGGTTTGCCAAACGTAATCAGGAAGCTAATCGAAAACGAGGTTGATCCGAATGTGATGGATGCCGATCAGATGTCACCGTTAACAATTGCAAGTCACTACGGACATGTAGAAGTAGCTGAATTGCTTATTCTATCTGGTTGTAATATAAACTTTAGGGACAGCTGTTATAGGACCCCATTACACCGTGCCGTAGAAGTTGGATCAATAGAAGTGACTTCAGTGTTATTAAAACACAAGGCTGATATAGATGCAAGCGACATTAAAGGATGGACGCCATTACATATGGCAGTGGCATTGGATCATCAAAATATCGTCAACCTTCTAGTAGACAATAACTGCTCCTTAGATTATTATGATACCAATAATAAAACTCCATTGACTATTGCTTGCGATTATTTGAGCAGAAGTAATGTCGATATTGTCAGAGCTACACAATTTAGTTATGACGGTCGAACAATAGATTTTCTTCAAGGGAGATATCTTAGTCTCTTGCAAAGATCAAGAGAACAAAGAGAATTATTGCAAACCGTCGTGAAACTTATAAACGCCGGTGCAAATGTTGACGGTCATGAATTTCGGCCAATCACTGCTGCCGCCTATGGTAACAATTCCGATACTGTATACCTGTTAATCAATGCTAGCGCATGGATTCCTCAGGACTGGTTTCTGTTCTCTCCTGATGTACAATTAGGTCATAAAATGACACAACTTATAGACTGGATAACAGCTCAATATTTGTTGCAATTTACTTTACTAAGGCAATGCAAAAGGACCATTAGAAAAACACTGGCGAAACGATGTTACAACATTGATATCGGAATAGAAAATCTCCCTTTACCCCCGGGAATTAAATCCTTTCTTCGATGAAGACACATCAGTGACATCCTCAACAATTTAATGCTTGCTACATTATCAATAAGATTTTCAATTGAAATTATCATTTCGATTTGAGTTTATCTTTATTGTATGAAAAAAGGTTCTCATCATTGTAGTTATTCAGAAAAGGAGAAAATTCATCCAGTCCCCAGTTTCGGACCAAAATTAAAAAAAAAGACTTGTGCGAATTATATGTAACAGTTATATTAGCTTAGAACATAATTGTCAAGATCTTCCGCTGTTTACACATTATTTTTGTTTTGTGGCAACTGCAATTTTGCACATTCATAATCATCAATTTTATTATATATATATTGCAAAACATTTTCTCCGTATGTGATTTGAATTCTCTTCAATATATTGGAATCAAATTGACGAACACATTATGACCCCCTTTCGTTTTCGTATATTGCGGTAAATTCTGTTTTCTTCTCTCTTTATTTCATTAACTAGCTGCATTTTGCGTCTTCTCAACACTTTTTTTTCAGATCTGTAAATCAACTTACTTCATGAGATTTCAATTTGATGATTAGTAATAAATCAAAATTTTCTGTGTAGAATTTAAAGTGCATGTGACACCCTGTAGTGAATAGATCTCAAAAGCTAGGACGAAATCTTCCTTGCACAATCTGTGTTTTATTTGTTAACCGTTTGGATTTTTTTGTGATGCCATTTTATGTAACTGCACTACAATGTTGCGTGGTTTGATTAAAAATATAAATGTTTAGTTTGTTTTTTGTGAGTTCCAACTATTTGTTATGATATTGACTCCTCCAAAGCAATATAAAACATCTCTACATAAGTCTTGAAAGTGCTCATTAAGTTAAAGTTCTTGTCTTATTTTGTCGACCTGTGTATGACAGAATTATTAAACAGAATACAACAGTGGCGATTATTATTACTCTGTATAGTAAGTACCCTCTATAACATATTCAATGATTAATGTAAAAGTATCAAACTATTTCAAGTTAAGCATTCTGTGTATTGCTCATGTAATGATATACCAAAGGTTTAACACGAACAATAATAGGTGACAGGGATTATTCATACCTGCCAACTTTCACGATTTAGGCGTGTACTACACGATTTTGACCCTTTGTCACGGATCGCAATAGGGTTACTCTTGGTCTTATTCTAGATATGACCGTCTGTAAAACCCTTGTCGAGGTTGGGCGTCCGTTTTGCTGTTCGGGATGGACAAGTACGCATACACGTCCAGTCAGAATGGGGACGTCAAATCCGATGCTTCTTGTAGAGAGAATGTCATGCTCTCTGCACGTTTAAAACCCTTACAACAACTCTTCGAGGGGTTCGTAGGTGGCCTGTTGCAAGGCAAAATGTCTGTCCCTTTCCAATATTGCCTAATTTTCCAGTGGCAGCCAACATTTTCTTAACCTTTATACCGGACGGCCTGTACTAAGGTCCAACTTATTATATATTTTTGTAATTGTTTTCGTCCTGAACATCCATGAAATACTTGCCGATGGACGTTAAACACCCAACAAACAATCGATCAAGAACATAAAAGTCTTTGTAACAGCGATCGGAAAAAGATATAGAGCAACACCGGAATTCCACAAAAAACCCATTGGCATGTTCGTTGTGAATGACCTAACATCTGGTCACCAAGACGAATATGATGAAGGCAGAGGTCTGAAATGGCATGTCAGTGACTGCAAAAAGTTCTTTGTTCGTGTATGCAGCATTGTCATTTTTCTTACTTTCTTCTGTTATACCTATTCTAAAATCGGACTTGAGTTTTATTGTGCGTAGTGCTATGTTATTTTTTTTTATTCTACATCGACTAGAGGTATAGGGGAGGGCTGATATCTCACATGTTTAACATGGCCGCATTTTGTGCGACTGTCCCAAGTCAGGAGCCTTTGGCCTTTGTTAGTCTCCGGTATGGGATTATCTCGCTGTGTTTAAGACCCATTGGTGGCCTTTGGTTGTTTTCTGCTCTTTTGGTCGGGTTGTTGTCTCTTTGAAACATTCCCCGTTTCCATTTTCAATTATTTTTGGTGGTTCCACCAAATTATTTTAAAGTTTTAATTCTGATTCATCATGTTTAATTAGTAATAATCAGAAAGATTGTATGTTTTAAATCAAAAAGAGCGACAATAAATTAAACAATTCAAACGTAGCTTTCCCAAAACGAACAGATGAATCAGATAAAAATGCACGCATGTAAACAAAACAACAACAAAAAACCAGAAAAAATACATAAAGACTAGTAACGATACATATTGTATTGTCCTGCGGCCACATATGTACTCACTGCCAGTTATGTCTTGTATTTTTATTTGTGTTTTATTTTCTGTCGTAAAAATAGAAATATGTGCATTCACAGTTGCTGTATGAAATATTGAATTGGTCTGTAAAAACATTGTGTCCGCCAGATTCTTCTTGATTATATGCGTTATAATATTATACGACGTCGTTTGTTTTGCGCATACGACTTTTCAACCTGCAGACCATATTCCCTGTTACTTACCATGTAAGTTTACCAACTTTGTTTAGTTTAGTTAACTTCTTTTATTAATTGCTCACTGATTGGTTGTTCTCAATATGCACGGAGTATTTGCACCATTCAAATAATTCTAGCAAACTTCAAATTATTGTTTTCTTTTGGACCTCGATAGGCTTAAAAAACTAAAAGTACTTTGGTTGCTATCTCCTTGATTCATACCCAATATCTCCATTTACGCAAGTCATGAGTCTCCGTTTTGGATCGAAAGGATTACATAAGAATGTTGTCAATAAACGTTGTTTTTGTTGCGTTGTTGAGATATATCACTTCTAAAGCAAGTGCAAAGTGAAGAGCTGTAAACCTCCATATAATAGCGGATGTCACATGTTTGTAGGTTTTTAATTCGAGGCTTAAACAAACACACAAAAATCGTTATATTTCTATTTGAAATGGCCATTCTAATGATTTTTATTTATATCTGATACGGTGATAAAATGAATGACCGATCAATTACTTATACACGTTCATTCTCTCAACCAATGATCAGATATACCATTGTAGTAATAGAACAGCTTTCTTATGTTTCTGAAGGTGCACATGGTAATTATATATGTCGAAGGGTAGTCATTTCAACAAAAATACACGTGTTACTCTACTAATCCTATCAAACTTGTAACAGTTACTCAAATTTTGGAACAACAAGAAGTAAATGTTTGGCAAATAAAAAAAAACAAACGCTCTCACGCTACAACTCATAACTGCACAGCAGTTGACTAAATGACAGGTCATTATGTTCAGTAGTACTAGCGGATGTGTAAAATAAAATTAATTCAAAATATTGACATATAGAAAGTATGCGTCCGACAGATCCTAAAACTGCTTACACTTCTCCACTTATCAAGCTGCCTATCAAATATTCAGACAGTAAAACTCGAGAAAAGTGTTGAGGCATATAAATATAGAACGCACAGGCGAATAGACTTGGTGAATATTGTATTGTGTTTGTTTCTTTGCATACTTATACTACGAAAAATGTAGGCATTAAATCACTTATGATGCAATTTCCCATATTTGATCTACTAGTTCTTCCAGCGGCCTAACTCCTGTTAAAATATTTGATCTGAACTGAATATAGAATTCTTCCATGGCATTGTGATAACAATCTTTGTTATAAAAAAACTGAATGTAAGCATCATAGTGCAATACAATATTATTGTTCATAGAATGTTCATTTCAAAGAAACATATTTCGTGTAAACAATTATTGACCGGTAATGATTTACGAACTTACCCGAGACAAGTTGATAGAAAACTGTCATACATATAGTTGGCTCATTTGCAATCACATCACATTTACTTATTTTTATATAGATCTAATGAAAATCTGACAATAAATATAGTAATGAGAGAGTTTGCAATGCAATGTTCCATAAACTTTTCATTTAAAATACATGTACTTAGATACGTTAAAAATAAGTGCTGATAATTTTTTTAAAAGGAGTTGTATCACTTTGAAATGAAAGTTTTATGGAACATTTTATATTGCTTATATACATCTAAAATCGAAATTGAATAAAAATGTGTCAAGTAGTGTAGTCTTGAAAGCGCTCACATTGTTTCCACTACTATTTACATAGTTAAACTGTAATACTTGAAAGGAGATTACATTTATCTGGATTGACCGCGTAAAATAAATCTACATTTGTGTCAACTATTAACATAAGGCTGATACAGTAATTTTATATTGATAAAACATTTCAGAACCTGTTCTCTTTCAAAGTACTAGTAACACAGTTATTATAGATTAAATAATCAAGGTATATCAAACTTATAGAACTAAGATTTCCTGGACTATGAATTTTTCAAAGTTAGTTATATTTGTTGAGAATGCAAGTATAAACACGTTTACGCTATGTACAGTAGTTATAGAAAAAACATCAATTTTACAATATACAATATAATGTAACATTTCACACAGTCACACAGTGTAAGTTGTAGTATGCACTTTAACATCTATTGTATAACAAGTTGTATATTATCTCTCATTTTCCTTTTCAAGGCTGATTTAAAGGCGCTTTTAATACCGATTTTGGTTTCCTTAAGGCAGTTTTTGATTTTTCTAAAGAGCTTTTACCTCCTGGAATAGATTGACCCTCTCTTGAATCGCCTTCTTGTAATGGAAATGTAGACACCGTTTCTTCAGAAAGTGCATAAGTCATGGAATGGCCGCTTTTTTTACTTATTGTTTCTCTGTCTTTGTACATGATGAGATACTCCGGATAACATTGGTTCCTGTCGAACACTACGAAAATCTGTGGATTTTGTACATCATCTACGCATGAATCATATAATTTATGAAACTGTCCCGGAATTTCAGGAGGCCGGCGTAGGGAAGGGTTACCTTTTGTGAATTGACCGACAAGAACTTTGGATCTAAACATGATACGATTATCCGAAGATGTATTTACTTTTGTGTAGCTATGGCTATATTTGGCATGGACGGCAAAATAGGAGCCTTGACCGTACATGGTTGCATTGCGACCACTGGTTCTGAAGTCAAAATTATTTGTGCAGATACCATAACAGGTTTCCAATGAATCAGTACCATGGAATAAATGTCTTTCACCAATATCACGACTTTTACCATCTTGTTCAACGTCAGCTAACATAAGCTTCTTCTTTCTATGAAATATACAAAATTCATTCTATAAGGAGAGATAGATACAATAAGATATGGTTTGAGTGCCAATGAGACAACTCTCCATCCAAGTCACATATAAAGGGAATGTTTTATTAGTATTTCATGAATGTCCAACTCAATATTGGTAAAACATTTGGGCAAATCATGAAATATTATCTAGAATATAATCCTAGTAAATGTATGTTAATCTCAATCTCACAAAAATTGTTAAAAATCCGCCGTATTTGTATGTCTGTACAAGGTCAGGGGTCTCTTGCCTTTGTTTGTCTTTTTAAATTTCGTTCATTTATATGTTTCGGAGTTTAATGTGACGTCAATTTTTACTGAACTAGTACACATTTAGTTAAGGAGCCAGATGAAGCTATGTTGAAGACACATTGGTGGCATTTGGTCGGGTTGCTGTTTCGTTGACAAATGTTCTTAAAAAAATCTTATTGTAATGTAGTCTGTCTACATCTGTCCAGATTATCTATTTTTATTTTAGCGAGGTACTATAATATGCTTCTCTATTAATTGCATGATAAGGAAATTTGATTCTCACTGATATATTTTGTTTTTGTTTACTCGAAATATCATATATTGAAATAATGAAGTTTTTTGAAAAAAAGAAAAGAAAGTGTATGGGGTATCCTTCCTGAACAAAAAAATACGCTAAAAGCAACGCTTTCTTCATTTCTTTTAAATAATCTCATTGTAAAATATAAGCAGTTCTTGTATTCATTATACAGTTTACAAAGAACACTATCAGCCAGTACTAGTGTGTTGGCATTTGCATGATTTACAGCGCATTTTAATTCCAAAGTGTTGGTATGCAGTATTGAAATGTATTTACATAATAGGTAGTAACTCAAAGTTGTATTATTTAAATTATGCTCCTCTGATGGCTCGTTATTAACAAACTAGAATAAAGACAGTCCAAAATAAAAAAGGAAAATCCAAGAATGTCCTTTTTAGAGGTAAAAATTTGCTGATATCGCGAAAATGCCTAATTTTTCAAACTCGTATGCTAATATTCTCCTTTTGTTTGGTATTTTCTGTAGAAAATCGGTGTTGGAAGAAATTTCTTCTCTGGTAAATGGAATAAATTGACAAAAATACACCATTACCATGACAATTTTATTGGGTATATGTGTTAAAATCACATTTTAATTTTTTAACAACAGAAATATCACAATTAAGTGAAGAAACAGGTACCTATAAATTGATAAAATTGAATGCAAAGTATACAAAAAAACGTGCACTACATTTTGTTCTTGACTTGATTTAGAAAAAGTAATTAATTTTAAAAAAAAATCACAATTATGGTTAATAAATTCAACTTGATCACGTCATTTTGTATCTTCTCTCCAGTTGGAAGAAATTTCTTCCAAGTGCTATTAAACCAGTTAAAATCACTACAAATACATATAGAAATATGAAATTTCTGTTTCTCCTTGGAAGAAATTTCTTCCAAGTACTTTTACAACATTACAGTAATTTTTTTTTTGAATTGAATTATTTCTTTCTACAGCGGAAATCTCTTCAATTAAATTTAGCAAAAAAAAATTGCTCAAAAATTATTCAACTAAAATTATTCATTTTATTTGTTCCTATATAATGGTTTCTTCCTTTATATTAATACATTTACAATCAGGTATATGTATAGCAAAACAAAAAAGTTATTTCATTTCAAAAACGTTTTGGAAGAAATGTCTTCCAAGTGCTTTTACAGCAGTATGAAACGGTTCATTTCATCCCATATAAAGAACCCACCACTTCTTGGAAGAAATTTCTTCCAAGTGCATTTACAGCAATGAGTTTGTTTTTGTTCATGTTGTTAAAATAAATTTCTGTCACTGGTTGGAAGAAATTTCTTCCAAATGTATTGACAGCCATAAAAAAAATTGATTTTGTTCAAATAAATTTCTGTCACTGATAAGAAGTAATTTCTTCCAAGAACTTTTACAAGAGTAACAAATATGTCACTTCATTTTGTTGAAATAATGTTCTGTCACGAATTTGAAACCAGACAATAACGTCTCCGACAATAACAATACATGTGAATATGTACTGTCATTTTAAGATGCAATCTGAACAATTCATTGAATACAGATAACAATCTACTACAGATTAATGTATTGCAGTACTATAACCATTAAAAACTAGAGGCTCTTAAGAGCTTGTGTCGCTCACCTTGGTCTATGTGCATATTCAATAAAGGACACACTCCAACATTGTAGACGAGCATAGAATTCATGACAAAAATCTCTGTTTTGTTGATTTGTATTGCTGATCATTTAGTCTGTTTAGTTTCTCTCTATCTTCTTCAGTTTTTGCTCATAACACAAAAGATGGTAAACAATCTTTATTTAAGGGCAATCACTCCTGAAGAGAGTGACAGTCTAATAACTATATCTACAAAATTTGACTAGTTAATAGATCTAGCCTTGATGACATTTTTGTGATTTAAAGTGTCTATGTATATATTATTTTTTTTTATTTATATATTATATATATTTTTTTTATCATATAAGGCAATATGCAAAAAAAAAAAATATGTAAAAATCATATATAAAGGAGAATAACCCTAATAAGGAGTCATCGGATGATTTCCTTTATAAAACTTAATTGTAGCTCTTGTCTGGCTGATAATGTTTGCTTGATAAAGTAAAACATTGGTAAATATCGTCATCAAAAGGTATTAACTCTAATAAGGAGTCGACTGACGATTTTGACTATGTAACTTTTAAAATGTAGAACTTGTCTTGCTGATATTTTTTTAGAGTTTAAAGTTTCTCTCTATCTATTAAAGTTTTCAAGATGATAGGCAAAAATGAAAAAAAAAAACGGTAAAATTTGTTCTTCAAGTACAATAACTCCTGAAAAAAGTCGTCTGACAGTTTTGGCGTATGTAGACAATTGGTAGGGCACAACAGTCTGAACATTTCTGCTGTGTCGGATTTTCTCTATTTATAATGGTTTTCAAAGTAATAGAGAAAAAATGCAATTTATCCCTATGTTCTTTTTTAGCCATGTCGGTCATCTTGGTTGGCAGGCGTGGTCATCGAACACATTTTCGAAACTAGAAACCCAAATGATGGTTGTGGCCAAGTTAAGTTAACTTTAAACCAGTTTTTTTCAGAGTAGAAGATTTGTGTAAAAGTAAACAGACGACGACGGAAGATGGACTCCAAGTGATGAGAAAATAATAAATTTCAAAATCTAAAGTAGCAGTGAAAAATTTCTGAGTGTGTCTCTTCCTACAGTTTTCTGCTAACAGTAAACATCTGAATGTTCTATTTTTCTGTTTACTTTTTGCCTTTTCTTTCTTATCTGAAAAAATAAAGTACCACAGAATTATGTTATCTGATTCAAACATAAAGATTATCAAAAGCATCTGCGTAAAATAATCTACTAGTATTTACCATCAGAAATTAAATTTTTAAAACTTATATAATCTGTAAAAAACTAGAGACAAAAATTTCAAAGTATTGCATGGTACACCACTTAAACATGTTAAGGTCACGTTACAGTAAATGGGCTATGTCACATATTTTGCTAATTATTTTCATACAACTTTGGCTCGTTGAAATATAACTGCCAATTATTTTTAGGTTTTTATGCAGACCTTGACAAACCATTAAGTCAAATACTTCCACCAAATACATGAGAACACTCATTTTTTAATCAGGTATTTTTTTTCTCTATATATAGAAAAAGTCATCCATAAACAGAAATGACTTCGTCCTAGGTCAATATAATTTGAACAGGTCCACATATAACGTCTTAACCTGGTCAAAAGTCCATAATTGATAAATTTACTTAGCTGTATTTCATGTAGCAGTCAACGTTATTTACGTGCCTCTTTTACAGTTAAAAAATCCACGAAAAAACTTTTTAAAGCTTTCCATGTCCAAATTTAGGTTTCTTACCATTACTTTTGTGGAAACTGTTCCTTCTAAGATACTCTTAGACAATCTTCTATTTCATCAACAAATGTAACATTCAAGTCTTGAATAAGGTATTGTAGTGATGATCTTAACATTCAACTGACCTATCGAGCATCAATGATGTTTCCAAATCCCCTTCTATGGAGTTTTAAGTCTGCAATATTAATGATTTTCTTAGCTCACCATTTCCATTCTTTATGCAGTTCGTCCTGTATAACCAAACATTATTATTTTAAAATTCATTTTATCATCATACTTTATCAATTCTGTAAATTTAAAAAACTAAAATTTTTTATGTCTGTTAATTAAACAAGAGTGCACACGCTGAAATGTGTCGCCTGCTTTACTGAGCATTGATTTTATGTTAAAAGTTTTAAAGATAAAGGATTTACTTAAAGCATCACAGAAACTTGATTAGGTCGGATGATACCTGCTAAACAGATGTATACACCTTACAATGATTCCATACATCAAATACAGTTGACATATTGCTTATAGTACTTGAAAAACAGACCAAAACACAAAAAACTTAACATTGCCCAAAGATCCATGAAAGTGAGGTCAAGGTTAGATGAAACCTGCCAGACAGACATAAACACCTAACAATCATTCCATAAACCAAATATAATTGACTTATTGCTTGTAGTACTCGAAAAACAGACCAACACACAAAAACTTAACATCGACCAATGAACCATGAAAATGAGGTCAAGGTCAAAATAAACCTGCCAGACTGACAGGTACCCATTACAGTCATTCCATACAACAAGTAAAGTTGACCTACTGCTTATAGTACTTGAAAAAAAAAAACTTTATCAATTTGAAAACACAAAAACTTAACGTCGACCAATGAACCATGAAATTGAGGTCTAAGTCAAAATAAACCAAATAATTACAGTCATTCCATACACCACACATAGTTGTCCTACTGCTCTAATTATTTGAGAAACAGACCTAACCATGTAACTTCAACCTTGTTCACTGATCCATGAAATGAGGTCGAGGTCATGTGAACCCTGTCTGACGGACATGTAGATGTTGCAAGGAACCCA